TAAAATTTTGATATTTTATTCTAATCAACTAATAGAATGAACCCATACGATCATATAGATATCACAAAATGGTTTCTAACTTGTTCAGTTGCGGAGAAATAGGCAATTTTCAACAGGTCACTTTTCGAGGTTGTTTGTCAATAAAAGTGTCAATTATTATTCGATTTTCATGAAATTTTCACTATGTGATACCTAATGCCATTTACGATTTCATACAAGTAATTTAAGATTTTCATTATCACCGGAAGTAACGTCATTTTTGCAAAAACTGTATTTTTAGCCTTCAAAACAGATATTTTATTCAAATGAGTCTGAGTTGTTATGTTTTTAAAATTATGATATTTTTTTCCAATCAACAAATAGAATGAACCCATACGATCATACAGATACCAGAAAATTGTTTCTAACTTGTACGGTTGCAGAGAAATAGATGGTGTTCTACAAGTCACTTTTTAAGGTTTTTGGTCTATAAAAGTGGCAATTATAATATTTCTTCGCAACTTTCATAAACTTGTAGCAATAATCCATACGAAGAGAATGTATGTGAAAATTAGTTTGTAATATGAGCAGTCGCCGAGAAATGGGCAATTTTGCATGAGTCACTTTTTACGCTAGTTTGCCTGTAAAAGAGTCAATTATTATTGGATTTTCATAAAAGTGCAATGACACCATCTGATACGTAATGTCACTTTTAACTAGGTCAAACTAATTTAACATTTTCAATGTCACCTGAAATGACGTGATTTGGACAAAAACTGTATTTATAGCCTTCAAAACCAATAATTTAGTAAAATGAGTCGTATTTGTTATTTTTTTTAAATTTTGATATTTGATTCCAATCAACTAATAGAATGAACTCATACGATCATATAGATATCACAAAATGGTTTCTAACTTGTTCTGTTGCGGAGAAATAGATGATTTTCAACAAGTAACTTTTCAAGGTTTTTGGTCCATAAAAGTGTCAAATATTATTCGATTTTCAAAATATTTTCAGTGTGTGATACCTAATGCCGTTTACGATTTTATACAAGTAATTAAAAACTTTCATTATCACCGGAAGTAACGTCATTTTGTCAAAAACTGTATTTTTAGCCTTCAAAACAGATCTTTTATTCAAATGAGTCTGATTTGTAATGTTTTTAATATTATGATATTTGATTCCAATCAAAAAATAGATTGAACCCATACGATCATACATATACAACAAAATGGTTTCTAACTTGTACGGTTGCAGAGAAATAGACGATTTTCTACAAGTCACTTTTCAAGGTTTTTGGTCTATAAAAGTGGCAATTATTATTCGATTTACATAAAATTTTCACCATGTGATGCCTTATTCTATTTCTGATTTCATAAAACTAATTTAACATTTGCATTACCACCGGAAGTAATGTAATTTTGTCAGGACCACTTACATGTAACAAATGTATACAATGAATTGGTATTGCTGGATTTGGTTGATTCTGCGTACATTTTATTTGATGTGTGCAATGCTTATATGGAAACCTGTTTAATGGTTTCATCGGTACCGGAAGTGACATATGTTCAAGGGTAACGGGGCACCGGTGAAACCCGTCATTACTGCATCGCAGTTTTAGTTTTTTGGGGTTTTTTTTTGTTTCCAATTAGATCGTTCTTGACATATCGAACATCCGGTCTGTTCTATTTGAAAACTCAAACACTTCACAAACATATCCAGACATTAATATTGTATTGTGCTTCCTGCCGTATTTGTCAGGCGGAAACCTGTTTTATTCAATCGTATAAGCCTGATATATCAAAATAGGTTATTTTTTTTCTGATCTTCGGATGTTTATATCATCTTCCGTTTTAGATACCTTACGAACTCACCGAAGTTACTATTCAACAATTATAGCTTGTGTTGAACCAGTACTATTGAGAAATTCTAAAACAATTTTTTAAATCATTAAGAAAAAGAAAAGGAGTTGGACGTATATCTTGATAAAAAAACGGGTACACAAAATAGGCGAATGAATGTTTGTGTTAGTACGGTCGATGTACACATTGAGCATGTTATCGACGCCGAAAGATGCGACGCCGAACGATGCGACGGCACACATAGTTCAAAACTGCACGTGATCTTGTACATAGTTAAACCAGATTGACGCTGTATCCCTACACATTCAGAAAGGTGACATTTGATTAACAGAATGGATGGAAATGAAATGAAAATGAAATGGGGTTTAACGTCCTACTATTCTGCTCCTAACCTAGGCTAATGAAGACGGGCATACGCCATACAGTGTGCTATGAGGGAAATTTTGCCCGGACAGCGGCACTACGGCCTACTCTTATATCGAATTCCAACTGCCAAGGGATCTTTTACGTGCACGCCAATGTATACACGGGACCTCGGTTTTTCGTCCCATCCGAACGACTAAACAGCTTTCCTTGTCAGCCCATCCGAACGACTAAACAGCTTTCCTTGTCAGCCCCTCCGTCCTGCATCACTGACAAGGGAGAACCACGCCGGAAAATCTGGATGAACTTTCTCGGCCAATGCAGGGATCGAACACCCAACCTCCAGGCTAGCGAGCTAGCGTCTTACCCACTTAGCCACGTGATCCCCGGATGGAACTACATGTATTACAACGTTATTTGTCTGACTCAATATTCGAATTCCATTCATTAACTTTTAAAATATAAAGATTTTTTTCTGAAAGAATTTATTTCTAAAATGTCAAATCGATTACTTTATTGGGCACAGATTATGAAAAAATACTACTACATTAATACACTGAGTTATTCTATATGACGTCGGATAACATTCATCTTCCTGGCAGGACGACATTATGTTATTAAATGTAATTTGCTGTCATATGAAGATGGGCAGCATTAATAGACATCCAGTTGTACACTTGATAGTAATTTGTAGTTTTAGATTTCTTACGAGCGGGAGAATGTTATGCTCCAAAACATGTCACAGTCGTCAACAATTAGACGTTATTTGAAATATAATTATAGTTTATACCAGGGGTGACCAATCCAATTCTAGTAAACGTACGTTTTTCCATGATTAAAATCACAAAAACAATATCGTCGGTTTTTCAGTGGTCGGGGTTAAAATAACTCGGAGCAGCAGGGGGTTCTTCAAATGTTGCTAATCAAAAATCCATCTTTCCTAGTTGGGTTCATTGAACCAAGTTTTAAGTGAAAACAGATTAATATGAAAGAAGATAACATTCCCTAAAATGGATGCGCCCAAACTAATAAAAACCGCTATGTGTAGGCTACTGTCTTACTTTATAGTCCAGTGGCTGAAGGGGGGGGGGGGGCACCCGATCTGTGAATTTATGAGACCAAGGTTTTTGAGGGGGCAATAATCATTTGGTTCAAAGTTGACCTTAAAAGTGGCTTCTCGTTAGCCTTTTCGTTTAGTACCAATTTCGTCATTTAACAAATTCAATTATAATGGTACTTTTCAAGAGATCTGGAAATGTAATTTAAAAAACAGTTAACAAGAGACATGTTTAGATATATATTATGTCCTTCGTTTGACGTAGGAATTAGAGGGAAATTATTTTCATAATGTTGCAAGAGTGTTTCCATAGTTGTGTATGGGCTTCCGTAGATTACGTGTAAACGGGTGTAAATGCAGATGCATTGAGCTGTGTGAGTCACTTCAGACGACACTAGTCAACACTGATTTTGATCACAACTCTGTTTTACCACATCGTGTCTTCCGATGATAGTATGGATCAGGACCAGCCTTCAGATTTTGTTACTTTAACAGACATTCTACATCAATTGAAGTCTCAGAAGAGGGATTTGAAAGATTTTTTACGCTCTAGATTAGATACAGAAATCTCTGCTTTGAAGAATGAAGTAACCGGGACATCTAGCAGTGTGAAAAAAATTGAAAGAAAATAAGGAACATGTATTGAGAAGCAACGGTAACAAAGATCAGTTTACTTATAATTCAGATCTTTCAGAAAATCTGACCCAAGCTTTATGGGCTATTAATGTAAATAAACATGATTATGCTAAAGAATTTTTAAAAGATTGCATAGAGAAGATAAATAAACGTACAAAGTTAATAAAAATTGCAGACTAGTCTGAAGGGGGGTTGGAAACTGTAAAGATTTATGAGGCCCATCCTTTAGCAGATGGTGACAAGAAGATTAATCGTGCAGAGGCGAAAGCTATTAAAAAGAAGAAAGAAAGAATCTCTAAACAAAAATTCAAAAGGTCATCTTATAACCCATCTTTTTCTTTTCGAGTTTCTTCATCAGGTACAAGGTCAACTGGTGGGGGACAAAATTATTCATTTCGTCCCTTTAAAAAAATAATGGCGCCTGTTTTTCCTGTGGGGAATTCAACCATTTTAGAAGAGACTGTCCCAGCAAAGTTCAACATGAAGATTTTGTAAAGGATGAGTATTTTAATATTTTGACTAACGAAGGAGAAGATAAAACCAATTTTACACATGATTTTTATGAATATGAAAGTGGTTCCTCTGAAATCTATGTAAAGGGAAGATTAGTTAAAAATTTAGATTTTTGGAGGGCTATTGGGTCTTCTGAGTATGTCTGTGAATGTATTAAATACGGGTACAAAATTCCTTTCTCTTCAGATCCGGGGGTTATTTACAAAATAATTTTGGGTTTTCATGGAAGTTTCATAATGAAATAAGATATTTTAAATTTACAGTGTTACCATTTGGCCTTAGCAGCGCTCCTTTCATTTTTACAAAAATAACCCGACCGTTGATTGCTAAATGGCGAGGGGAAGGAAAACAAGGTTTAATGTATTTAGATGATGGTTTAGGTGCTCATAGTTGTAGAGAAACTTTACTTGTGCAAGCCACAGAGGTAAAAAAATGATTTGATAAGTTCAGGATTTGTCCCGAAAGTTAGTAAATCATGTTGGGATCCTGTACAGAACTTAACGTTTCTTGGTATTATCATAGATACGAAGCATGTTTTTTTGCAAGTCCCTGAACGACGTATTAATAAGTTGACTAAATGTTTAAATGAAGCGAAAGATTTAGCTTTAAAAAATAGAAGAATACATGTAAAATTTCTAGCCAGTATTGTGGGACAAAATATTTCCTTGTCGATTATTTTAGATAATTTAACGCAAATTATGTCTCGTTTTATGAGTCAAACAATAGCTTCCGCGTATTCCTGGAATGCGCGATTGGTGATATAACTCCAGACGTTTTTCAGGAGCCTGAATTTTGGACTTTAAACGTATAAACTACAACCTTCTTAAAATGGTGTACAGTGATGCCAGTAATTCTGGTTACGGTGGTTATTGTTTAGAAACACCAGCGGGTATTTCACATGGTATGTGGACAAAAAAGGAAAGCGAAAAGAGTTCCATATGGCGTGAGTTATCAGCGGTTTTAAGGGTATTAAAATCTATCGGTTAATTGTAAGGGGACATCGAATCAAGTGGTTTACCGATAATCAGAATGTGGTTAAAATAATCGAGAAAGGGAGAATGATTTGTGATTTGCATGGTATTGCTTTAATCATATCTCAATTTTTAATACAAAATCATTGGAAATGGACTGGGTTCCGAGGCGAGAAAATGGAAGGGCAGATTTTTTGTCTCGTTTGATTGATTATGATGACTGGGGTATTGCTAGTTCAATATTTAATGATTTAAACAGGAAGTGGGGACCGCATTCGATAGACTGGTTTGCCTCATCTCATAATGCGAAATTAACAAAATTTTATTCCAAATTTTGGAATCCAGGATCTTTCGGCATTGATGCTTTTACAACGAATTGGTCTGAATTTAGAGGGTGGTTTGTACCGCCAATATATATCTGATAGAACGTGTTTTAAAACACATGGCACTCTGTCGTGCTTATGGGACGTTAATTGTACCTTTTTTGGTACTCGGGGCGATTTTGGCCTCTGTTGTGTCCAAGTGGGGACGAATTTATATTTGCTGTCAAAAGTTATATTGTATTATCTGGTGATAGAAAGGGTTTTACACCTAACACATCTGGCAAATGGATTTTTGGAAATGTGGATTTAGCTTTCCAAATGCTTGCTTTGGATTTGGATTTCAGATTATGAATGTCTTTAAGGACATAGCCGTTTTTAGGCTGAAGGGTCTTGAGAATACTTGTTCGATTGAATGAATTAAAAGTGCCAAGACAATTTTGTTATTATATTTCTTTGATTTTATAAATCTGTTTTTTTCAGACTTATGGGAAAGAGAATACAGATTTACCTTCACAGATTACTGATCAGTTATGTTCAATTCCTAATTTATTAGATGGTTCCAGGGCACATAACACTTCGATGAAGTACCATAGAGGTTACATTAAATGGAAAAGATGGACTGTGTGCAATGATATTCGTTTGAAGCTACCTGTTAATCCTCTTGTATTTTCGTTATATTTGGCTTATATGGTTGATAATAATGTGTCAGTGCATAGTCTTAATGAGGCTTTCTTTGGAATGCGATGGATTCACAATCTAATGAGTAAACGTTCTCCTACAGAGCATATGATGGTAAAGTACGTGTTTGAAGGCGCTAAACGTAAATTAATTAAGCCTACTAAGAAGAAGGAAGTCCTTACTGTAATCAGCTTAATCGAATGTATGATTTGCATTTTGATCAGAACAATTTGTATAAATGAGAATTATTGTTATTAGTTTATAATGTTTTGCGGGATTTTTTCGTATTTCGGAGGTGTTGAATTTATGTCGTTCTGCTATTGTAATATATCCTACTTATATGTCGATTTTCGTCGAGAAGTCTAAGACTGACGTTTATAGAGATGGGGCGTGGGTTGTTATTTCTAGGTAAGTCCTATAATTAATCTTTTGTTGTTTTTAGAATGCCCTAATACAGCCCCTGAATCTAATTGCTATATATTTCGAAGTTTATATAATTCTAAAGGGGGATAATTTATACACGTATAAGGGAGCAATTTATTGAATCTTTTAAACCGATTGTCGACGATATTAAAAGTTTTGGTTTACATAGTTTGCGTGCTGGTGGTGCGTCACCTGCAGCTAACGCTGATATTCCTGATAGGCTTTTTAAAAGGCACGGGCGGTGGAAGTCGGAATCGGCTAAGGATGGCTATGTTAAAGATGAATTAAATAGTCGTTTATCTGCATATAACCTTTTGATATGCTCCAGATACCCATTCACATTGTAAATCTTCTTTCCAGCCATGCATGCATCGTAGGGTCATCTTGTTCGATCATTGGTTTTGCAACCCCTACCCCACCTCCCCACAAATCAAAACAGTTGTCCAGGGGCATCATATACACTTATTTAGAGATGAAGAGTCCTGGAAATTTAAGTGTTATTAATATATAACATGATCATTTATGTCAACATGACCACATTTCAATTCAGAAAAAAATGCTCTATTTTAATGAACATAATCGTCACAAGACATGTTTATTTTCATTGACAATACAAACTTTTATTGTTTTTTTTTATAATTATAATTCTTTTAACACCAACTAGTGTCACGTTCGACAAAATTTTGTTGAGAAATACTATATGAATATATAATAATACAGTGGTGATTTAAAAGAAGAGCGACGCTATTACCCTAATAATAATATAATGAATGCCCATTATTAGTATAGCGCCTAAACTCCACAAAATTTAATATTGTGCTCTTCGCGCGCAAATTTCTTTAATGACGTACATTGGCGAAGGTTAATAGGTAATGAGTTCTACCTGATGTTGTCATCCTGTAACTTGGCATGATCAGTTAATCGACAGGTTTCGATCGCAGATTTTTACGATATTTAGGAGCGGTGCCATCTACACATATAAAAGTTAGTGTAAGGAGTTTAAAAGCTATTCGGGCAGAAAATGTGTGAGCCAATGGAGATCCTTTAGAATGAGTGTGTTGTGGCTGGATCTAGGTGATTTGGTCAGCATCCTGGCAGTATAGTTGTGAAGGCTTTGTAGGCGCTGAAGTTGGCATTGTGGATGACCTACAAGATGGCTTTTGCAGTAGTCGAGACGGGAAAGAATTAATGATCTGTGGAATAAAAGATAAATTACTGTCTAGTAAAACGCCAAGGCTTTAAAACTAATGAATTTGACTGTATAGTATTATTTCTGAGCTGCATGGAAAATGATTTTAGTTGAGATAATCTATTTTTAGGGCCAAACAAGATGGATTCCGTTATGTCATAATTAAGCTTTCATATTACATATGAAAGCTTATTGTTTCTGTTAAGATTATTATTGTTATTTTTTTTTTGTGTTTTGTCCACAAATCGGATTTCTCAGAATCTAACCATAGGATCGTTCTGAAACTTTTACCTATCCCCCCAAAAATGGGTGGTGGCTGTTGATTAAATATATTTTCAAAACGTTTTACGAATCCGAAATCACCGAATTTTACGAAGGAATGCATTTGACCTACAATGCTGTAACTCTGTGACTATTTGACCTATTTTACTAATTCTTTTTTCTTTGAGTATCTTGAAACATTTACTTCAAATCTGCAATTTCGGATTTTGGCATTTCGAAAATTCGTCGCTGTCATTTCGAACCGGAAGTTATTACCAATTTGACAACTTCTTTAATAGTTGTGCGATTTTCGTGAAATTTAGAATGTTAGTAGATCTTCAATGATGTCCTTGGAAATTTTCTAAATTATCTCCCCTTGGGGAAATTAAGGATCAAAGTTTTCAAAAAAATCGTCGAAATATAGGTCAGAATGACCTAAAAAAAAAATTCGATACTAGACAAGTAATTACTGATTCGTACACAAAATATGGAGTTTGTCGATCGAACCGGAAGTGCCACCATCTTTAAACGTGAAAAATCAAAAAGGCTTTTTTGCTATTTTACTTACAGACTCGGGCGTCATATTTTCGGAATCCTGGAAGGAATACCTAAAAATCTATCGGATCAGAATTTTGATTTGGGTCACGTGATGGTCACCATTTTGAATTGAAAATGAAAAATAGAAGCAATTTGAAGGGCCGGGACTTTGGAACACAAGAACTCTCCTTCTAATTAAGCTAGAATGTTCAAACTTGGTGTAGGCGTTCACTAGGTCAATGTCATGATTGAGTTCAAAGATGAGCATTTTTTGCCTAGGGTAAGCAGAGATAAGCAAGCTGATTTGTTGATTCTTTAGGGCACGATGACATTGGTTATAATGAATGGAGGGCGATGAAACTCTTGTCAATCGAGAGGCTAATAGCTGGCCTGTTGTGTGAAATCATTGTATCATTTTTTATTCGAATTTCTCCTTTGATGTTTTCCGTGCCGACAAGGTTGTTTTCGAGTTTAGCTGGATTTGACTTCGCGCATGCGCTACGCTGGAACCAAAGGTACCATGAGTACTAAATTCCGGCGAGCAACTTTTCACGTTGGTACCTAGGTACCCTGAAAATTTCAAGGTGATACCTGCATTCGTTCAAGTCGTTTGTTCTTGTCACCTGCCTTTCGTCGTTTTTTTTCTAAGTCAATTTACGGCTTCCATGAGGGGAAAAAAGTGGAATTTCGCCGTGACACCGGCACCGATTGTCCGAAAACCATGAAATTTGGACACAATACGTCCATTACCACCCCGGACTCTGTGCCTTACCCCCATTTTGATCCCATTAAAAAAAAAGAGTTTTAGCAAAAAAACGATTTTCGGAATTTAATATTGGTTTTAACCCTGTACCCAGACAAGATATAGATATTATTATAATCCCTATGAAATATTTTAATTATTTACTGCTATAATATGAATTATCACTTATTCCCCGTTAAATAAATATCGGTCACCGGGTGCAGCTGTACAACTTCAAGGACCCTGGCTTCAAGTCAATTTACGGCTTCCATGAGGGGAAAAAAGTGGAATTTCGCCGTGACACCGGCACCGATTGTCCGAAAACCATGAAATTTGGACACAATACGCCCATTACCACCCGGACTCTGTGCCTTACTCCCATTTTGATCCGATTAAAAAAAAAAAAGTTTTAGCAAAAAAACGATTTTCGGAATTTAATATTGGTTTTAATTAATTTTGAAATTGCAAATGCAAAGAGATTTTATCGCCTCTTCCGTATGTGATAGGTACTGGTACTATACACATTATCCTTAAAAGACAATTTTTTAAAATGACCGTAACGATGTATCGACACTAGAAACCGAAATCGCCTATTTTGACCTTTTTGGACTGCTGAGGCATCATTCCGGTGGTCCAAATCTCTGGAATTTCTAGCGGTTGGCTGCGCCGCGATGATATTTATCACATACTAAATTGAGAAAAATCCTCAGATATCAAGAACAATAAAAATTCGATAAAATACGGCAATTTTTTAAGCAAAAAACCTTTGATTGTTGGGGGCGGGTTTTGAATTTATTTTGAACGTTCTCGGAATCCAACACTCTTCTATTTTTAATATGTGATAGCTAGAATCCCAAGGTACATTCTGTGCATATTTGAAGGCAATCGGAGCACAGGAACGTTGCCTGGGCAGAGCAAATCAAAGGCTTCTTCGTCTTATGACCTTAAACACTGCGTATAAATTTAAAGTCAATCGGATATTAACAGCAAAAGGGGGGCGACGACAATATACGACCACATTTCAATGTGGGCCTATAAAAAGTAAATCATTGCCAATAGAAAAGACCCACCTTTCCCCCAACAACAACCATGTAATGCACTAGCTATAATGGGGATTTTTCTGGAACACAGAGAAATGGGTCTTTTAAAATGTTCACAAGTGTATCACAAGGAGGGTTTGCTTCTTCTCTATGGGACACCCGATACCACTTCTCAACGAGGAATTCAGTCACACAGCCAACACCATTTTGTATGTTTGTGTAATCTTTATTCAGTATAAATCAAGTAATACAAATAAAAAAATACTTGGATTGATGAAAACATAATTTTTGAGAGTTATTCATACATGTAGCATAATTGTTCTTATTTAAAAAATGTACATGATTACATGTTTGTCATAAACAACATTAAATAAACAATCATGTTTCTTCACGATAACAGTAACAGTATAACAATTGTATGAAATATATTTTCCTTTATTTTTGTTTATTTTTAGAAAGGCCACTTCCTTGGTTTAAAATATATCATAAATTGTAGTTATCTAACATATACTTCCATGTATGTTTATCTAACAGATTACCACGTCGCCTTATCTAACAGAGAGTAAATGGTATACAATATCAAATTATAATCTACCAGCATTACTTGTTTCAGTAATTTAATCGTGTGTTACTCTTGTATTTAAGTGAGAAGAGTGAATAAACTATCATGGGTTGAAACAAATATATTGGAGTAGAAATAAACATTGTATATTGGTTTGCAAATAAATAATTGGTACAGATAATGCAATGTCATACAACATACTTTTTGGATTCGGTACAAATACAACCTTTTTATCATCAATGAAAATAATGTGATTTCAAAGTAACGATGAATAAAAAAACATTGCTTATATAAAGTACATGTAATTGGGTTCATTTAATTCACTTTGTATCTATAATATACATGTAGTATTAAACAATAAATATATTGATTAATGCCAATTCTATACAAATCTCATAGTTGTATTCATGTTTTCTTTACCATAACAAGAAACAGTACAACAGATTTAGTAACAATATATTCCTTTCTACATCCGTCAGAGTGGTTGATGATTCATAGATTCTAATAACCCCTTTTGAAGTTTATATGAAAGCTTTGATATCTGCTATGCAGATCTAGTTTAGGTTTATGTTTGTGATTGCCAAAGAAAGTTAATCAGTCGCTTGTTGATCATCTCCGATTTTGAAGGACTTGACAGCTGTGTATCACCAGATC